CTCCTTAAGCACCGTTGCGTACTCTGTGCTCTGCTTGCAGCCCTGGGCTTCGCTGCACGGGTCCTCACAAGCCCCTCAGGGGAGTCTCGGTGCTCTAGTTGTTCTGGGCCTGACTGTGGTAGCGCCTCACATAGTGTGAGGAAGAGCACAGGACTAGTAAATACTCGGGTACTTACCTATGAAAGAGAAGTAGCACAGAGAGCGCGCTAATGATTTTAGTGACATAGAAGTACAGGAGTTGTTCCCACTATTCTGAAGCCCTTTGAAATTATAGGGGACAGCCTGGGTCACTGAAAGAAACATTTTATAGTCAGTATTTACAGCTATCTTACTACCAAGAGCTACTTTTGGGGAAGCCATTAGCAAGGATGACCTGTTAGAGCTTGTTGTAGCACAAAGGTCCCTTGTAAGTGGTCCCTAAAGGACCTTCAAATCCTGCCAAAGACCATTTCACATTTTTACAAGGATAAATGGCTTCATTTTGGTTTTGATTCAGTTTGAAGGAAAACTGTAACTTTTCCTTATAATGACCTCTACACATACCTCCGTATTCCATTTACTTTCACACATAATAATTCTTAGCAAGTTTTACTGTTTTAGCATCTTCTATAGATAGCACACTAAATTAATTATCTATTGTGTTTGTTTCATTAAATCCTTTCCACAGAACCCACGTGGCTTTCCACCAACCTGGGTATTCTGACCTGTATAGAATGTTCTGGCATCCATAGAGAAATGGGAGTTCATATTTCTCGCATTCAGTCTTTGGAACTAGACAAATTAGGAACTTCTGAACTCTTGGTAAGTCATGCCCTATACTTTGGAAGAGAACATTTAAGTTTGTCATTATGAGTATGTTTAATATGTTGCTTTGGGTTGGTTTCTGTTGCATGAAAGAAATTCTAATTTCTGAATTGTATAAATTTGCTTAAATATTTAAAATTTAACTTTTGTGGTATGTAATATTTACTGTTAGCTCAGTGAAACTGGCTCTTACCTTTTCAGATGATCAATCAAAGCTGCTCTTTTGAGAACTGGTTTTGAATAGTATTCGTTATAACAGTGGTTAAAATTATGTATTACTATTACCTAATGTTATTAAAAATAATGGCTAAAAGGGTTTTCTTTGTTTTAAAGTATACACAAATTAGGAATACCCTGTTAACTATTGTCACAAAACCAGTTTCTCCTCAACCCAGAAATTCTTTATCTTGGAGTAAATTGTGTGAATTTGTACCTAGCTTTATAATATGAAAAAAAGTTATAAACACTTTGTTTTTCTTTAAACACTGCCCTTCCCATCATGATTCACCCAAATGTGGAGCTCTCATAAAGTCCAAGCTAAATTGGTTGCTGTAAAATACCAAAACCAAGGAACACATGGCATTCCCTATAATTAATGCCTTGTGATCATAAACCCTGCCTTGAAAAATTTTAACCCTGGTACACTTAAAACAATCTTTGTACTAAGAGTAGAATTTTTAAAATAAAATAGAAATCCTCAGAGCAGTACTTAAATGAACTGGAACTCAAAAAAGAGTTGACAGTCTGGCTTACTACTAGTTTTGCCTGGAGAAAAGTACCACAAAGTCATGATGGTTATTCATCTACTCTGCCTTCTACCTCACAGTACCCGTTAAGCAGTGATGATAGGTCCTATCTGTACGATGGTCTTCGTTTTGGAAGCTGCAAATTATCATGCTGATTCTCGGCTCCCTGTTACACTACAATATATTGGACAAATGGCTCAGACCTAACACATTCTCCTTTAGCACACAAACGAGCTCCCTGCATCTCCTTGACTCATATAATGAAACCCGGTTTGACTCTGAGAAATAGGAACATCCAAATGCTAAACACTTGCAGTGTAGTAAGCCCACAGTTTTTTCATCCAAAGACCTCTTTGCATGAATTTGTTTTACACTTTTGCATTAATCTCAAAGATGTATGAATGAAGTCAGGTGTGCATACCTCTAATCCCAGCACTCGGGAATCTGATGCATATTGTAAGGCCTGTCTAGGTTAAAGTAGTAAATTCAAGTTCAGAGGTAACCTAGACTATTCTAGTGACACCCTGTCTTTTAAAAAGAAGGAAAACAGGCCTGGTAGTACACCTATAAAGAGTCCCATCGCTCGAGACTGAGACAAGAGGATCACAAGTCTGAGCCAGGCTGGGCAATTTAGTGAGACTCTGTGTCAGTGTAACAAAGCACTGGAAACGTAGCTTAGGGCAAGGGTCCTGGGTTCCGTCCCCAGTACTGGGGGTCGGGGAGCAAGTGGCCAGAAGCCACGTAGGGCAATCCTGAGTCCTCCTCTATTGTTACTTGTAGCATCTTAATCTACTTCTAAATCTAAATGAAGGCCAGCTTCTTCACTGCCCTCTAGGGGTAAATTGGTCAGTGTGAAAAAGAAATGTGCTGGAGGTTTGTTCTATTCATTAAGAGTAGACCCTGTTTATGTTTAGTCCATTGCAGATACTGTACTTTGTACATGTGTAGGACAGGACTGGCTTCTTCTTGGCATTTATCGCATTGTATTTGTAGGTATCACAGTTTTACTGTCAATGGCTTGGTCCCACTAGACTCTGAACGTAGTTCGCTCCTTTTTTAGCACTTAACCAAACATTAGTGCCTGGCATGTGGAAGGTGCTCAGCAAATTGTCACTGACCAAATGAATAGATGGTTTGTGTTCTGAGTCAAATGAAGGAAAGTAGATATCCAAGTATCTCCAACAATTCAAGTATCACAAATAATAGGAAATTAAAGTAATGGAGAGCTCACTGTATTCTATTTTGCTTACATTACAGCTGGCCAAGAATGTAGGAAACAATAGTTTTAATGAAATTATGGAAGCAAATTTACCCAGCCCCTCCCCCAAGCCCACCCCTTCAAGTGATATGTAAGTATTTCTAATACATTGAATTCTTCACTATTCTATAACTTTTTCTATCCTCAGAAATTTTGTCTTGGTGATTACAATATTGTTTCCAGTTGTCAGGGGAAAACAGAGCAGACAACTATTTTGAATGTGTTTCTGGAATATGCAGGTTGTCACCATCACCTTCCCGTAGAGGGAGAGCCGAGTGCCTGCTCTGTGGCGCACGATCTTCATGAGGACAGCTCTCTAAATTGTGTCCTGTTGTGATGCGAGGCATAAAAAAGACAAGGGGGATTCTCGTGACTGGCAAAAATTCAGTGCTTAGCAACGCACTCAGCAAATCTGAGAGTAAACAGACCTTCTAGTACGTTGCCAGTACGGCTACAAACTGGCACGTGATGAAAAACAAATGAGCTGTGTTTACCAAATTATAAATCTTCTTACACTCTGACTCAGCTATCCCTGTCCTAAGAATTTATTCCTATTCTGTAACAGGAAAAGATCTGTAACAAAGCAAACGTCTACTTACAGGCATCTGAGTAGATTTTCTGTGATACAGCCACCAAATGGAGCACTATGCAAATACAAAAAAGGGGGAAGCATGCTATCTTTGGATTTAATGTGATCTTCAGGGTTACTATTTTTTAAAAAAGGAAGATTAAGAGCACTATACAAAATCAGCTGGTTTGGGGGAAGAGAAGCTTGCTGGGGTGTAGGGAGAAGTTCCCCTTGTGATCTGGACTCTGTCCAAAGTCAGGAACTGTTTTGTTGCTAAATTTATTGATAAATCTTTTTTTAACTTTGACTGATTACCACCTACACTCAAACCAGATATATTCAAATAGTAAAGAATGTGTTAATATATTTTTCTTTGGGCTTGTATTTGCTTAAAATGCGCAGGAGACTAACAAAAGTATGTTCTCGGGGGTGGCGGCATGGGTGTGAGGTTCCCCAACATGTGCTATTTGATAATCACTTATTTTTCTGCTATGTAAATGTTAATCTATTCAAAAAAATTTTAACTGAATTTACAGTTAATGTTTTAGGGAGGGTCTGTCAAGAACAACCTACAGACCATCCTGGAACTTAGCTTAGTGCACCCAAAGGCCTGCAGCTTCCACCATTAACCCTGGTTCTCCCTCGTAGAGGGAGATGTAGCTCGATGTACGGCACTTGTTTAGCAAAAGTTGGAATTTTCCAGGTGTACCCTTAACCCATGAATCGCTCTCTGTCCTCTCCCTCTGTCCTTGCTTCCTTGGAAAGTGTACGGAGGGTATGATCACTAATACTTTACTGATGAGAAAACTGAGGTACAGCAAAACTTGATTGAGGCAGGGCCACATGGATAGCAAAACTTAAACCATTCAATTACTTTTTCCCCTCTAGCTTGTATTTTTCTATCTGTCTGTCTGTCTGTCTACTGGGCTTGAACTTGCAATAGGCATGGGCTGCCCCACCCAGCAAACCATGTACTTCAGTCTGATAGATACCGCACGTACTACAGGAGACTTAGAAGCCAAACACAGGCCATTCTTTCAGCCTGCACTCTTCTATTTTTTTTAATTGAGAAATAAATATGAATGAGACAGTTTCACAGCTGATTAATAGGACAGTTTTGATAATCAATA